AAGGTGCATAAGGCGGAGCCGAAACGTTTTAACTTTCTTCTAAGGTGCATAAGGCAGAGCCGAAACGTTTTAACTTTCTCCTATCTTCAGGTGCTTTTTTTTTTTCTAGTTTTCCAATATTTAGTGCTGCGCCATCAAATGTTATAGTACACCAAAGTACTTCCTCTCTTTGGTTTCCTTTTTAAACTACGTGGCCTTCGTAGATCCATCACTTTTCAGTGATTTTTTGTTATGGTTTTTCATGCTTGCTATTTTATTTGCTCTTGAGAGAATTTCGTCTATTGTTACAAAGTCGAACCACTTCATTTTCAAAATGTTTCGGATACATTTGTTTCCAAAGCTTTTCATTTCTATTTATTTTTTTGCTGAATGGCTTTGACTCGCAATCTGAGGGTCGCGGATTCATCGTAGGAATACTGCCGATAATTAAGTTGATCTGGGGAAGAGAGTACCGTTAAACATGTTTTAACATGTTAAAACTAAGAAAGGGTTTTAAGCTAAATGTAAGATGGAGCTATTTGATTTACCAGTAGGTATGTTTCGGTGATTGTTACAGACTTTAAAGAACAACAAATCAGACGTTATCATAGTAAAAACATTTAAGGTATAAGTTAATTACGATCTATATTATACTCTCTAGTAATCTTTACTTTACTTCTCGTAGGAGCTTTCCGTGGCAGAATCCCCTCAGCTACTCACCCTAGTGGACAGCTCACTCGCTGGAGGGGACAACCAGATTTGTGTTGGATATCGACATCAGTTTGATCTGATTAACGAAAAGAACGGAGAGTTGCTCCACTTGCTTCACGTCGAGAGTAATAAAGTAGGTGAACTTAGGAAAATCTTAATATCTTTGTTATGTAGAGGAGGTGTTACAGTAACTACACTCATCTTGATCCACTGTGTTATGTAGAGGGGGTGTTACAGTAACTTTACTCATCTGGATCCACTATGTCATGTAGAGGAGGTGTTACAGTAACTTTACTCATCTGGATCCGCTGTGTTATGTAGAGGGGGTGTTACAGTAACTTCACTCATCTGGATCCGCTGTGTTATGTAGAGGAGGTGTTACAGTAACTTCACTCATCTGGATCCACTGTGTTATGTAGAGGAGGTGTTACAGTAGCTTCACTCATCTGGATCCGCTGTGTTATGTAGAGGGGTGTTACAGTAACTTCACTCACCTGGATCCACTATGTCATGTAGAGGAGGTGTTACAGTAACTTCACTCATCTGGATCCACTATGTCATGTAGAGGAGGTGTTACAGTAACTTCACTCATCTGGATCCACTATATTATGTAGAGGAGGTGTTATAGTAACTTCACTCATCTGGATCCACTATGTCATATAGAGGAGGTGTTACAGTAACTTCACTCATCTGGATCCACTGTGTTATGTAGAGGAGGTGTTACAGTAACTTCACTCACCTGCATCTACTATGTCATGTAGAGGAGGTGTTACAGTAACTTCACTCACCTGGATCCACTATGTCATGTAGAGGAGGTGTTACAGTAACTTCACTCACCTGGATCCACTATTGTCATGTAGAGGAGGTGTTACAGTAACTTCACTCACCTGGATCCACTGTGTTATGTAGAGGGGGTGTTACAGTAACTTCACTCACCTGAATCAACTATGTCATGTAGAGGAGGTGTTACAGTAACTTCACTCATCTGGATCCACTATGTCATGTAGAGGAGGTGTTACAGTAACTTCACTCACCTGGATCAACTATGTCATGTAGAGGAGGTGTTACAGTAACTTCACTCATCTGGATTCACTACGTCATGTAGAGGAGGTGTTACAGTAATTTCACTCACCTGGATCCACTATTGTCATGTTCTGTAAAGGCTTTTTATAATACCAGAATATGTTTAGTAACTTTATTATGTAGACAGAAACCCACCATAACTTCTCTCAGCTGGATCTGCTATTATCGTGTGTTTTATTAGATGCTAATAAAGCACATGGTGTTAAAAGTTACATATTAAAAGTGCTATAACTTCAAAGTATTCTATATTACAGTTTGTAACGGTATTTTTTTATGTCATTGAAGGTCCACCTGGTGACGGCTATAGACATCTACGAAGATGACGAAGCGGAACTATTGCTATGTTATAATCGTGAGTAATGCGATTTGGTAGCTTATGTTAGTCACAGAGAGCTGGCTATTTTTTATAATCCTGTAGTTTTGAACGATGGACTGGTGGTTAGGGCGCTCGACTCAGAATCTGAGGGTCGCGAGTTCGAATCCCCGTCACTCCAAACATGCTCGCTCTTTCAGCCGTGGGGGCGTTATAATGTAACAGTCAATCCCAGTATTCGTTGGTAGAAGAGTAGCCCAAGAGTTGGCGGTGAGTGGTGTTGACCAGCTGCCTTCCTTCTAGTCTTACACTGCTAACTTAAGGACGGCTAGCGCAGATAACCCTCGTATAGCTTTGCGCGAAATCCGTAACAAACAAACAAACACAAGACGTTTAAAAAAATATGTTAAAATGTAAATAAGAAAACAGACTTGAAAATGTTTATAATAACTGGAAAACCATGATTATTTGTCGTACTAGTTAAGCCTTAAATCAGAAACAATTAAACCCAAAGATCAATATTTATATTAATGGCTCTTTTTAGTTATATCTAATTTTTATAGGTTAAAGTACGTTTGTCTAAGTTTCGTCGAAAGGTGTCTTGATTGCTTGTTTTGAATTTCGCGCAAAGCTACACGAGGGCTATCTGCACTAACCGTCCCTAGTTTAGCGGTGTAAGACTAGAGGGAAGGCAGCTAGTCATCACCACCCACCGCCAACTCTTGGGCTACTCTTTTACCAACGAATAGTGGGATTGACGGTCACATTATAACGCCCCCACGGCTGAAAGAGCGAGCATGTTTGGTGTGACGGGGATTCGAACCCGCGACCCTCAGATTGCGAGTCGAGTGCCCTCACTACCTGGCCATGCCGGGCCTATTTTGGACATAAATACATATAATACAGTAATAGAAATGAAGCGGTCGATTTACGAATTCTTCTCAAGCTTCAGAAACATTACTAAAAATGACGTTCATCAAAACATTATTTCTTAACGCTGCTAAAAACACACCTTAATTAGTCTTGTTGTTTTCTATTTTTAATTATTCTTTAAACCAAAACTTGCTAAATACGATCCATTCTTCAACATCTACCACAAAATATTCTCCGGGTGCGTTATATGAGTGACAGTCAATCCCTTAGCGTGGATGATAAAGTGCTACTGACTGGCTGACCTTCCATTGGTCAGTAGTTCAAAATTAAGAATGGCATAGATATCTTTCATAGCTTTCCTATAAATGTAAAATACAATAAACTCGGTACTCTTTATTGGTGATATCATTCAGATACGACACACATTCACTCGGTACTTTTTATTGGTGATATCCTTCAAATACGACACACATTCACTCGGTACTTTTTATTGGTGATATCCTTCAAATACGACACACATTCACTCGGTACTTTTTATTGGTGATATCCTTCAGATACGACATTCACTCGGTACTTTTTATTGGTGATATCCTTCAAATACGACACACATTCACCCGGTACTTTTTTATTGGTGATATCCTTCAGATACGACGTTCACTCGGTACTTTTTATTGGTGATATTCTTCAAATACGACACACATTCGCTCGGTATTCTTTATTGGTGATATCATTCAGATACGACACACATTCACTCGGTATTCTATTGGTGATATCCTTCAGATACGACACACATTCACTCGGTATTCTATTGGTGACATCCTTCAGATACGACACACATTCACTTAATGTTCTCCAGTAATGATACACTGCAGGTACGATTCACTTTCAGTCAGTTTCTTATATTTCAGATACGACACATTTTCAAAAACTAGCAGGTGACCGCTCAACAGACTTTGATTTTCAGTGGAACTCTGTCCCCGAGTCCATAGGTAAGATACGTCACAATCGTTAATTTGATTGAATTGGAATATTTTGTTTCTTTTAATACATACTTGTGTATTGTGTGTATAAGTATGAATGCTTCCAACGGAATCCAAACACCTGCTGAACTCTTAATGATATTCAAGCAATAGTTATGTTACTCTATCATAAAGTCTATATAAATCATATTACACTTAGAAATATTATTCATCTCATTTTTATACTGTCATAGTTGTGTATAGCTATTTACATAGGATATGTCAAACAGTTCGCTGCCCCTAAACACATGTTCCAAATCCTCTGTTTCGCTTCTCTGTCTCAAATTTATGGTTCCATGTGCCGACCGCCCTTTCTATCCACTCCGTATGACAAACCTTACCCTTTCTATCCACTCCGTATGACAATCCTTACCCTTTTTATCCATTCCTTATGACAAACCTTACCCTTTTTATCCATTCCTTATGACAAACCTTACCCTTTCTATCCACCCCGTATGACAAACCTTACCCTTTCTATCCACCCCGTATGACAATCCTTACCCTTTTTATCCATTCCTTATGACAAACCTTACCCTTTTTATCCATTCCTTATGACAAACCTTACCCTTTCTATCCACTCCTTATGACAAATCCTTTACCCTTTCTATCCACTCCGTATGACAATCCTTACCCTTTTTATCCATTCCTTATGACAAACCTTACCCTTTCTATCCAC